CATTCAGAAATCCCTTGAGTCTGTTCTGTCCTCAGACCCAATCGAAAATTTGGCCAGGAAGTCATAAATCTGAACCAAATAATTGGGCAATCAAGACACTAAAGGACTCACTATCATGACAATACATAATTAATGCTATTTTAAATGCATTCGCATTGGACTTCTGGTGTGTTGCTGTGAATCAGCACTGGACTGGGAACCACAAGGTCAGCAGTACAAACCCACCAGCTGCTCCTCAGAAGCCCTATAGAGGATCACTATGAGTCAGAACAGACTCGAGGCACTTAACAGCAGGCATAGTAAAGAGATTAATTCATTACAAAGGGCCTGGTGAGCCACTGTAGGATAAGCACTGGATTGCTAACCACAAGCTTGGCAGTTCAAACTCAAAAGTCACTCCTTGGAAACCCTATACAGTGTCGCTGAGTTAGAACAACTCAATGGCACAACAAGTCCTAAAGTTTAGGGTCTGAGAGCTTAATTCCCTCAGTACCCTGGTTGAGATGCGCTGTTCCAGGTGTTTGTTCATGCACAAATGGACATAATTAGGCATCCATGTAGCTATCCTAAAAGTGCCATGGGCAGCCAAAAGAACCAATAGATCTGTTTTGGAAGAAGTGCAGCCAGAGTGCTCCTTGGAGGCCAGGATGGCTAAACTCCATCTCTCATACTTTGGACATATTGTCAGGAGGGAACAGTCGCTGGAGAAGGACGTCATGCTAGGTAAGATGGAGGGTCAGAGAAAAAGAGGAAGACCTCCAATGAGATGAATCAGCCAGGTGGCATCATTGATGGTGTCAAGTGTGGCAGTGGTAATGAGGTTGGCCCAGGATCGGACATTGTTTCGTTCTGCTGTGCACGGGGTGGCTATGAGTTGGTTCCAACTCGATGGCACCTGACAACAACATGACCTCTAGGTACAAATCCATTGCTAGGCAGTGGAAACACATTCATGGGAAAATCTAAACTGCTATTTCATATTCTTTTATTCTGTCAATTCTTTCAATCCTCTCTTCAGAAATCCTGACGATGATAATAATAAAAAGCTTTCAATCCCACTTGGAAACAGTATGAAAGAAGCTCAAATAAAAAGGGAAACCCATTTTAAATTTAATTATCTACACCCATAAATATTGATGTCACGGTTCAGTGACTCAAGTGTAGATAATTAAGGAATTAAACAAGTCCAACTCCAAAACAAAAATGAACTTCCCCCAAGGACTCCTGAATATGTACCTCATACTACCATAGGCTTGGAGTCCCTGAGTGACTCAAACAGGTAAGTGCCCTACTACTAGCCAAAAGGTTGGTGATTTGAACCCACCTAGAAGCAACTTCAATTTCACAAGTCACTCCCTGGGAATCCTATACAGGGTCGCTATATATGGATAACCAACTTCACAGCACTTAACAACAACAAAAGCAACTTGCAAAGTAGCTCTGGTAATGTTTCCCAAAGATCAAAGCCTTAAAAACTATGCAGCAATTCTATTCAGAATCAACTGTCAGGCATATTTCCTTTAGTTACAGATCATTTCTCCCTTCTATGGTGTTGTAAGGCGCTCTGATAGCAGAGTGGTTACAAGTTGGGCTGCTAATCTCACCGTCAAGCTGTTCAAAGCTACTGGCTGTTCTGCAGCCTTGAAAACCCTATAACAGGGTCAATATGAGTCAGAACCGACTCTACGACACTTAACAACAACAGCATGGTGGTGCTGATGGTGGTGTGCCATCTGTATAAGGGTTTCCAAGAAGTAGCTGATGGGTTTGAACTGCTGACCTTGTGCTTCAAAGTCCAGTGCTGATCCTACAGTGCCACACCAGGAATCCCCTCTCTAAGTTGTTGTTAAGTGCTGCCAACTAGGTTCCAACTCATAGGCACCTATGAGCAGCTGATGAGTTCGAACCACTGACCTTGTAGTTCAAACCGAACTTTAGGTCAAATGCTATCCTACAGAGCCACACCAGGACTCCTCTTTGCTACTTGTTAATTATAGATCAAAATTCGTTCTTTCACCAGTGAAGTTACTAACAGAACAGAAGACAGAGGTCAAGGAACATTCAAAAGCTTATTTCCAATGCTGTCTTGAGGTTCCTGAAGGTCAGCCTGGACTGAAAGCAAAACCCCACCATGGTTGTACTCTGGTGTGGACACATTGGCCCCTGTACACTACAACAGTGCCTCCTTAATCTATACCAGGGTACCCAACTGCTATATCCGCAACCCAACTAAAATATCAAATCCCTGAGCTATAGGATCAGCACTGGACAGTGAACCACAAGGTGAGCAGTTTAAACCCACTAGCTGCTCCTCAGAAACCCTATACAGGGTCACTATGAGTCAGATCCAATGGCAATTTAACAAGCGCCGCTGAAATAATGAGAAAAAGTCACTCTCTATAGATTTTTCAGAATTGCAGAAAAATAGCTTGATGCTACTGAACACAGTCTGGCATTTGTAAACACTATAGTTTTAGGAGCATGGTGGCTCTTTGGGATAAGCACTGCATTGCAAACCACAGGTCTTTGGCTCAAGCACACCAGCCACTCCATGGTAGAAAGAGAAGGCTTTCTGTTCTCTCAAAGATTTGCAGCTCGGGAAACCCTAACAGGGTGGTTGAGTCAGAACCGACTCAGTGGCACTTAACAACCCCACGTTGGAATAGAATCAATTCCAACCCATAGCGACCCTGTATAGGGTTTCCGAGGGGAAGCTGGTGAGCTTGAACCACTGACCTTGCAGATCAATTGGCTTTGCAGTCTGACCCATTAACCCACAGCACCACACCAGGTTTTAGGTAACTAATGCATGTCAAATATAGTGGAAAACTGTTTTTTTTTTTCTTTTCCTTAAGAGAATTAGCCTCTCAACAAATAGACTCAAGTTACCTAAAGGATTTTAAGATATATACAGAATATATATATATATATATATATATAGAGAGAGAGAGAGAGAGAGAGAGAGACAGAGAGACAGAGAGAGAGAGACATATTGTCAGGAGGGAACAGGAGCTGGAGAAGGATGTCATGTAGATAAGATGGAGGGTCAGAGAAAAAGAGGAAGACCCCCAACGAGATGGATCAGACAGGTGGCATCATTGATGGCGTCAAGCGTGGCAGCGGTAGTGGGGTTGGCCCAGGATCGGACATTGTTTCATCCTGCTATGCATGGGGTCGTTATGAGTCGGTTCCAACTCGATGGCACCTGACAACAACAACAACAACATACATATATAATGGAATATGGTTCAAATACACAGAATAAAATTAATGCCTGGTTAAGATGTGATCAAGAATATAAGCTCCACCTGTAAGCCCATCTTCAGCCTATAACTGATTGGATTTGCTAAAAGGGGAATTAGAATTTGTCCAGGGTAATAGATTTCTTGTTAAGCTTTTGTAGAGTATGGAGCCTTAGGTGCATTTCTGAGCCCCACCCAGAACCTTCTGAGGTGGGGCATTCCCACTTGAAAAGACAAGCAGATCAACCCAGAACTGCTGGGAGAACAAAATATTCTTACAGAAAGACCTGCAGAAAAAAACAAACTTTTTGGCTGTTTGAATACCAAACAAGCTGTTTATTTGGGAGACATCAGGGCAAGAAAATCAGCCCATCAGGTCTTCTATGCCTGAAACTTAAAAGGGAAACTGCAAGCAGTCTAGTATGTTTCTGGTAACAACTTGGGTCTACTTATGAGTGGGAATGGAGGAAATGCAACAATAAAGACACAGGCTGAGTTTGGCTATGTTCCATTGACACCTGTTGAACTTGAGATGAGAGAGGAGGAAGGGCTGGCTGGCCTGAAGTTTAGGGAGTTGAACTCCTGATTGCATGAGCACTTAGCTTCTAGAGGCTAGGGCTGAGAGTGAAGTGGCCAGTGAAGGGAGGTGTGTGCAAACTTCAAAACTTGGATGGGCCAGCTGACCAGAACCTGACCAGATTGATACGTTTGATACTGTGAGCAAATATAAATTGCTACATTTCTTGAACTGGACTTTTGCTTACAGCTGCAGTTGCTCGAAATTCCAACCAGAATGGAAGGATTCTTCATATCAAAAAACAAGTTTGTTCCTCAGTGCACTAAGTTGATGCTGTTATTGTTGTTAAGTGCCATTGAATGGGTTCCAAGCCATAGCAACCCTGTATAGGGTTTCCAGGAGCGGCTGGTGAGTCTGAACTGCCGACTTCGTGGTTCAAACAAAATTTGAAGTACCAGCGCATTAACCCATAGTGCCACGCCAGGACTCCACTGGATTGATAGGGACAGGCAATTTAGACATTGGCTATCTAAAATTGGGGAACTACATAGGCATGCAGTGGCTGGCTTAGAAGTTTTCACGAATGTACTGTTTCTGAATGAGGGGGTACGGTAGAATTCCCACTGAATAGTTTTCCTCTTTTCCAGATGGATCTGATGAAAGGGTATGGGGGATAATGGTGATAAGATTTGATGATTCAATTTTAAATGTTGAGATTGTGATTGTTACAGCTGTTAAGTATAGAAGATGTGTAACTAAAAGGGCAAAGTAATTCATCTTTCACGTCAGGAACAGATGATCCCAGGACCATCAAGAAGGAAGAGCATGAGTGGAATGTGAGATCCCTGCCTAGAAAAGTTGTGATGGCAGAGACAGCAGCAGAGGTGGTAGTATAGACAGACAAAGCAGCTGCAGGCTGCAGGCCCACGCACTCAGACAAGTACCTGTGGTCAGGAGGCTGGCTTGCAGAATGTGCCCTTTGGACATTTAAACGAATATATACTTTTTGTTTTGTATGTGTACATCAAATATTTTTGCTTTGCTCATTTGTGAAGTATAAGATGTAAATGAGGAGGCACAGGGAGGAGGTAGGACAACTGTTGTTGCAGCGAGGAGATCATAATTGCCGAGATGAAACAAAGTGTATAATTTGTTGAATGAAGAGCTGATGATCTTGTCTCAAACCTTCACTCACCGCACAATAAAAAGTTAAAAAATATATATATAAACTACATTGAACATATGTGGAAAAGATATTTAATTGTAAAATAGAAAAGTAGGCCAGAGTACAGTTTTAAGGGTAATTGCTTTTTCTTTTATACAGTATAGGTAATCTAGAGGGGTTTTAGGGCTAGATAAACATTTTCATAAAGCAATAAAACATTTAAAAAGAAAGTCAAGAAGAGGGGCCTGAAGTAGGTCTTTAAAAAAAAAAAGAAGAGTATGTCGTAGTCAAATGCCCATACACTGTGGAAGTGAGCAGTCTTGGGATGAGTGTGGGCACAGCAGTACAATCTTCACAGGGAAAAGTAAAAGTCAGGTCACACACACCTGGAGCATCACTGTATTACAAAAACAGCTCGGTCTACATACAAAAACAATTTTTTTTTTTTTCCTTAAGAATAATTTCCTGGGGAGGAAATGAGTCCATGAAGCATTTCAGAAGCCCATATGCATTGAGTTTTCCAGAAACATTATCTTAAAATCCAGTGCCTTAAAGTGCTTTCATGTGGAAACCATGATAGAAGGCACAGAAGACAGGTTCACGTCCCCACTATGAAATTTTCAAAAAAGCATAGATTTTGCAAATTCAAGTTCTCTTGTAAGCTGCTTCTTCCAAGGACATTGTCATTCCAATAAAAAGCTGCTAGCTTACTTCATTTCAATGGCCTGTAGAATAAAAGGCTTTTTTCCCCTAGTAACTTTCATCATCTTCTTGGGAAAAATACCTATGCAAGTGATGCATGTTGAAATTAGAAAACATGCAAAATATGTACAAACAGAAAAAATTTAAAAATATTTGCTTCATATACATGTAAATCTACTTGGGTAATAGCTGAAATTGAACAAATATAAAAGTTTCGCTTTTTCTAGAAAATGTTTTCAGAGTCTGAGACAACGCAAAGCTGTACAAAGATTTCCTGGGAGAAATCTTCTCTTCATATAGAAGTTTATACCTACAGAATAATTCCAGCATCAGTCCACCACATAATTATACACAACATTTGGTCTAATCAACAACGATCACCCTTAAAACTGTTCTGTTTCTGAGAAATTAAGTTTCGTACTAAAATCATAAAGAATTCACCAAAACAGTGGCTTGTTGTGTTTTTGGATCTCTTAATCTTTTATCAACTCACTTGGAACTGTAAAAAAACAAAACTATTTACAGAATTCAGTTTTAAATACATTTCACAACTTCTAAAGTTTTATAATACAAGAATGCAGAGCTCATGGCTTAAGTCCAATTATCAATCTGTAGTCTCTTTATTATCCTGTATTCTCATGACTGTACCCGTATCGTGTACAGTTCAAAATTGTATTCTTTCTTGACCAAAAGGAAAATCAAACTACATGTTCATTTCAATTAAACAGCTTCTTTATTAGTCTGAAGACGCGTCATTGCTTCTAATTTCTGTCTGTAGGCCTCTGCTTCCTGTTCTTTCTTTAGGAGCTGTTGTCGATATTTTTGTGCTTCTCGATTTGCTTCATCCAGCTGTTTCTGAAGAGCCTCTCTCTCCTGGTCAAAAAAAAAAAAAAGTTTCATTTTCATTTTTTGTGCAAGTACTTTATTAACACATGCAAGCAAGCATCCTTTAAAAAAAACAAAAAAAACTGTAGTAGCTAAAAGCAGCCACTGTACTGATGTTTCCTAGGCATCTTGTATTAAAGCCCTCGTTTTGGGCTCCACACTATGACACACTGATGGCAGTTTTTAGGCTCAGGGTAATTATTTCCTAATTAGAAATAAGACAAACTCAATGAACCCAAGTTGGTTATCTGGATTTTTAGTGAAAAGTTTTAAAGAGGGTAGGGATATAATCCTATTTCTTCATATCTGTATTCATGTAAAGGTAATAATTATTATAAGATCATTAATATTTAGTGATCTCCTACTAATAATGAGTCCTGGTGTGGTGCTGTGGGTAAATATGCTAGATCGCAAAGTCAATTTGAACAGCAAGGTTGGCAGTTTAAGTTCACCAGCTGCTCCTCAGAAATCCTATACAGAATCGTTCTGGGTCGGAACCAACTCAAGGGTACTTAAGAACAACAACAACAACTAATAATAATAAACCTCTAAGACAGATATGTCCATTTTACAGATGAAAAGCATCATGCTCAGAGATGATGTAGCTTTCCTAATATTTAACAGTGAAGAGTTAGGTTTATGAGGTTCTGAGACTACTGTTTTAAAATCTGTATCACTAGGTTAACAAGCAAGATTCCTCACCTTTAAAATGAGGAGAATTAATCTGGATTTGTGTTTCTTAAATCATGTCATTTAAAAATCAACAGAATATCTCAATTCTACACTCTTGACCTATTAAAATTATACTGGTATAAAATATAAGCATTAAATTACTCAATAAATTGAGTTGACAAATAAGAATGGTCATTTCATCCTTCCCACTCTCCCCCTTGCTCAGTTACCTCAGAAAAATCATTTCTAAGAATCTTACTACCCTTGACCTCTGGTGGGCACAGGAGCAAAAGGTCAACCTACAAGAGTTCCAGGTCACGGGACCACTCCATAGTGAAGTCATCTCATTACAGAGACCCAGGACTTCTGGGTGGGGTTGGGGCAGGGGAGAACTATTAATCACAGGAAAGGGCAGGTTCACACTGGACAATACAATTAACTAAAGGGGACTGACAGTGAGGGGCACAGGCGGTATGATGATCTATCCACGCGTTTCCACTGTCTCCTTCACACTTACCCATTGTAAACAAGAGTCCCTTCCCTTCATTATCTATGTGGGTCCACAAAGAAGAACAATATATAATCCTCTTGCCTTCTGATCCTGTACGCTTCCCCACACTGGGAATGAAGCTACATCAGACATTTCTTTTTCCCATGAGCTCATGAACTGTAAAAGTGTTTGGTTATACAACCTCTGATACACTAATGGAATGGGTAGGAGGGGTGGGGTGCTACTTCCCCAGGAACTAGAACCCACCTCTGGTAGAATTTACAGTCTTGTATATGTTTTCAATTTTTACATGTGTCAGTTAAGATTCTTTGGTAGCAAAAATTTTGAATATGAATAAAAATTTACTCAACTTGGTAGGAAATTTTAGAATTAGCTCTACATGTCTTCTAGTATAGCTATTTACAAGGGGACTTCAAAAAGTTCATGGTAAAACTGGAATTAAAATATAATGGAATTTTCCCACAAATTTTAGATACCCTTCATATTAGCCAACATGTAGAACCATAATTATTAGCAGCAAAGAATGAATATACAATTATTTCAGAAGAGCAAACTGAGTGAAATAGACTAGCAGTGAATATACAGTTTAACCCTATTCTTCTTATTTCAAAGTTTTATTTCTGAAAGTAGAATATATATTAAAAGATAGTTCCTTTCTACCTTACCTACTGGGCCAAGTAAGATTCCTTTTAGAATGCATTTTTTGGCTAAATCTATAAAACCTAAAAGGTAAAGGCCATCTGCTCTACTCTTTATTTATTCCTTAAGACTGAGAGGCTGGTTAACATTATGATAAAGTTTTTTAAGTGTTTTCATTTTTTTTACTTAATATTCATAAATAGGAGCCCTGATGTGGCTCTGTAAAATAAGCATTGAAAGATCTGTTTGCACCACAAAGTTGGCATTTTAAACCCACCAGCTGCTCCTCGGAAACCCTAGAGAGGACCGTTATGCGTCAGAACCAACTCAACAGCACTTAACAACTTAACAACTCTGGAATATAAGGTGCTCTGGTGGCATAGTGGGTTACACATTGGACAGCCAACTGCAAAGCTAGCAGTTTGAATCTACTAGCTGCTCAGCGGGAGAAAGACAAGGCTTTCTGCTCCTGTAAAGATTTGGTTTCGGAAACCCTATATGAGGTCATTATGAGTTGGAACTGACTTAACAGCACACAACCATTGCCACCACTCAGGAATATTGGCATGTGCCATGCCACTTTTCAAAGCAAATAAAAATCTCTGAGAAAAGGAAATTTAACTTCTTATATTACTCAGTGATTCTTTATTTCCACATTTATTTGTCAAATGTTTACTGAACATACAAGTAAGACATTTCCTCAATGTAAACAGTAATTTGGTTGTTTCACTCATGAATTGCACAAAAAAATCGCCATTTCAGATTTACATTTAAACAGAAATACCAATCCAGTGATTTTCTGTTGCTATTGTTAAGTGCAATAAAGTCAGTTCTGACTCACAGTGTTTCTGAGGCTTTAAATCTTTGTGGGAGCAGAAGTCTCATCTTTCTCCCTTGGAGCAGTGGTGGGCTCAAATGGACTTTGTGGTTCACAGTCCAGTGCTTATCATATAAAGCCACAGCACTCCCAATCCAGTGGCTTTACCTTTTGCAATAAAATCATAATAATAAAGTTTTTGACATTTTTACGCAAGTAATAAAAATGTTTATACTAAACTATCTTTCACCTAATAACCCAATATTGAAGAATTCCAGGAAAAATAAATCCTGATGATAATCAAGATTTGGTAACAAGGAAGATATTATTACTCTGATGCTGAAATTCTAAACCCAAGCATTAGATTACTATTAGATTAAGCAATGGGATAACAGAGAAAGGACAGACATTGAGTTTGCGTTTTTATTTTCAAACATGATAATTTAATACTGGTTCTTTAATACTGGTTATTACAAGAGCAAAAATCATAGTGATTTATCTTCCTCTACTATACCTCCATATAAATTTTAGGATAGTAACAGTAATAGTGACTAACATGTATTGAGCACTTACTGTGTACCAGCCATTATACAAGTCCTTCATATGAATTCTCATCTAATCCCAATCTTATAATCTAAGTGCTGTCACTTTTTCCTTTTTTTCTAACAGGGAAGCCAAACCTTGAAAGCTTAAGTAACTTGCCTAGGTCACAAAACCAGAAAATTATAAATTAAAATTCAAACTTAAATCGCTTTTCAGAACTATACTTTTAAGTTTTGCTTTTTGTTTTTAAAGAGGAAAACCAGGACAGATATATGAGCTGTCTGATTTGATGAGGTGTAAAACATCAATTTTCTAACTGCCGAAGGCAAAACATAGTCCTATTTGAATAAATACAGTTTTATTTATAGAGACTCGTGCCCATTCACTTCTGAATTGTCATGGACACTTTTCTGCAACAATGACATAGTTGAATAGTTGCTAAAATACTTACTATCTTACTCTTTACAGAAAGTTTGCCAGCCCTAGCTCTAAAAGAAAAAATTATGAAGAAGAGATGATTACAGAAATATTTCAAAATGTTGTTGTTGTTCAGTGATGTCAAGTCAGTTCCAACTTAGAGTGACCCTGTGTAGAGCTTCTTAGGAGGAGCTGGTGGCTTTGAACCATTGACCTTGAAGTTAGCAGTCCAGTGTTTATCCTACAGCATCACGCCAGAATTCCACATGCAAACTGTGCATCAAATAAAACATTGCATAAAGCGCTCACAGAAATCCAGTTTTTAAAGAACAATAAGGATCCAAACTGATCATTGGTTAAAGAAGTCTTTCTATTTTAAAAATAAACTTTGTTGAATTGAATAAGCTTTTATCTAATAAAATGCAAATATATCATAAAAAAAATCTCTGCTAATAAACACATCCATCTCTAACCTCCATGACAAAGAGAAAAGTCACACAATTAAAGTGATGAAAATCTGTTATTCCTAATTCAGTACTTGTATTGCCTTCCTCCCACATGCACAAAGAAAAGTTTTCATTTCAAGTCAGAGTAAGTCAATGCTGTTTATTTATGGAAGAAATCTGTATATAGCACACTTCTTCCTGTATCTTCAATGCAGTAGTATCAAGGGGTGACTACAAAATTATATAATTACTTCAATTTAATGTCTTATTAAAAAAAAAAAGAAAAACCATTTTATTTACTGTATTACCATATGAAAATGTAAAAGTCACAGAATTTACAGTAAAATTTCTATAATTTAAACTCATTTTTCCTTATATTACTGGCAGATGTCTCCATTTGTTAGTTTGGAAACTCTGTATATATAAATTCTTAGTACCATCAATACAGACAGTCACTCTGATGATTTCTGACAAACACACAGAGCAAACCCAAACATGGTATATTCTGTATAATGAGTTGATTTTTTATTCTTTTAGAGCAAGTATTCTCAATGTCAGTATTAGTAGTAGTTTTAGACTAGGTAATTGTTTGTTGTAGGTACTGTCTTATGCATTGTAGGTTCTTTATTTAGCAGCACTGCTGGCCTCTCCCAACTAAATGCCAGTAGCGCAACCAACACCCACCACCATCCCCAGTCATGACAAACAAAAATCAGAAACTGTCAAATGTTCCTGGGGGATGCAATTCATCCCAATTGAGCCCCACTGCTTTAAAGAAACTGAGTTTGCTCAGGCCAGACTGTCACTTAGAAAGGAGGATGCGAGTCTGTCCCCAAAACAGTTTTATTGGTGACGTAAGAAAATAAAATAATCACTTCATGAATATAAGGAAGTAATTACCTGTTTTGATGGAAACTTTGGTGGTCATCTCTTCATTCTATATCCCCAAGCCTGCCTCTACCATCTATTCTCACTGTATGCTTTAAGGTCTACCTGTAATAGTCCTAAGAGGTCATGCAACCTTGATTTGAACATTTTCCAAGATGGAGAATAAGATTTCTATCCAGAAAGTTCTAATTATTGAAAACAAAACAAACAAAAACACTCTTCTTTATACCAAGCTAATAAAGGTATAAGCTGCATAGTCATTTTGTTTTAAAAATATAATTTGTTGAATTTAATAAATTTATTTAATAAAAATTCTAATAATTTTAAAATAATTTAACTAGATAACTAATGAAAAGTATGTAACATTTTTTTCCCACTTGTATGCTTGGAAAAAGATTTTATGACATATCAGAAAAAGATAAGTAACAAAAAGATTATTTATTAAGTCTATCAATAATGTTCAGTGGAATAACTTATTAGTCTGTGAATAAGAATTTCAACATCCTGACTATCACTTTAAATTCTGAAGAAACAAAACAAGCAACCTTCAATACTTTATTATAAAGGCATAATTCCACCAAACTTCCTGGTTAAACTATTAATAATATCTTTTTAAATTCAATAACATATTATTTGTGATTACTGCCAAAGATATACCAGTCTTATATTTAAATGAATTTGGGCAAGGATATTTTCTGATTGTCCTTTGTTAGAATTATGGAGTTTTTCAATGATTTTCTTTATCCTTTCATTTCTGTAATAACTAAAACCTTAACAAAGAATTACTAAATATTCCTTAGTATTCATTATACATAAATATCAGATGCTATGAATAAACTTATAAATAATATATTCTCATATAAAAACCCTAAAAAGTAGAGACTGATATTCTAAATGCTAATTTGGGAGAAAATGAAACTGAAGCTCAGAGAGATAAGATTACTTGCCTCAAAGCTCTAAGAAGCAAGAGCTGAGACTCAAATCCAACTCATCTGATTTTAAGTCCCACGTTGCTCAATAACTTTGTTTACCTTTTATACAAAACGATACCAAATTTGGGGCATTATTTTATTTATAGTTGTATGAGAATAAACCCTGTGGTTTAGATATATTTACAAACTAGTTTGGGAGAAGAGAAAAAAGTTGAATCCTAAAAAAAGAGCTAATCTAAATTGATTTAGTTGCCTTAAATCAATTTAATTACTGAAAACATCCCATTTGATTGATATATGTCAATCTTTTCTAAGAGGATACTAGCCTAATTTAGGACTCCTGTTGGGGCACTATAGGATAAACATGAGTCAGAATCGACTCAATAGCACATTAACAACAACAAAAGCCCAATTTAGCATGTACATATCATTTTTGAAAAATAAAAATATATAGTCATATATGGAAACATTTGCTTTTGGTGATTTGTGAGAATGGATATATGTAAGTTTAATAGTAAATAAAGGATGGAGTGCAAGAAACAAAGACATTCCAATGTAAACATAATGACAGACTTTGTTACAAACAAATTCTTCAATCACTCATTCATTCATTCATTATTTATTTATTGAGGACTTGCTATATGTATAAGGCAAAAAAAAAAAAAAAAAAAAGACAAAATGATATTACTATGGTGCCTTCATTCTGTATGAAAACAACACTTTCAGTAATAAATATAAGACAAAAATATAAAATAAAATTTTTTAAAAGTCAATGGAATTTATTTTTGAAGACTGCGGCAAAACACACCGGGTAAAAGACTCCTTACTTCTATTTCTGCAGATTCCACCCGGTTTTCAATTATTTCGATACATTGTCTCTTAGCTGGTGGTTCTTCACTTATAACAGTTTCTTCAGCAATGTCTGTTGCTGGTACTGTTAATACTAAAAAGGGGGGGGGGAGGAGAACATGTGTATATAAATAAATAAATATATATATATATATACATGTTACTTCATTTCAAATAGCTTTAGAAAAATAAATTAGTCCTGACATTGCTGATACAAGTGAACTAAAATAAATTATTCCAAAACAGTAATTTGAAAACACTGATTGTTCTGAGGATATCAGTATTTATCTTCTTCACCTTCTTGCTTTCTTGTAATAATCAGATTATTGAAAGTATGTACTTGTTTTTTATTTTAAATAGATAATATTTTTACTTACATGGCTAAAACATCAAAGCAACATTTAACCATCATCCGTTAAGAGGTCTCATTCCCAACCCTGCTAATACAAGTGACCATTTTTATCAGTTCCTTTTACTACTTCTTACGTGTATTTATGAAAAAATGAACATGAAAATACAAGGACAAGTAAAAAAGTATTGTTACTAGGGTCTGAGTTTATATATAGCATGAGTTTATTCCAAACAAAACATGTTTCTGCGACCAACACATGGCTCAGACAGGCTATCCCAGGAAGAAGTACACTAGTGCTAGTCTCGTTGCTGTTGTTAAGTGCCATCAAGTTGATTCTGACTCACATCAACTCTGTATAGGGATTTTGAGGAGCAGCTGGTGAGTTTGAATAGCCAGTCTTTGGTTCAACATCCACTGTTTACTCTACAGCACCACACCAGGACTCCTTAGTCTCATTAAGATGCCTCCAAATAAACGGTCCAATCAAAACAGTGGTTTCTAAGGGGCGTCTGTTACACCAAGGCAGGAAAGTCCGCTTACTAGGGTATGGTGGCTATTTTTGTTTTCAATTCCAAAAGGGTTATGTTGATAGATTTTCTAAAAGGACACAGAATGATCACCAAGGCTTATTAGGAAGACTTTTTAATAAAAAAGAAAACTGCACTGGTGAGAAAAAAACGGGAAAGTTGCACTGAAGAGTTGCTTTTTCCATTTCAACAATGCTCATTCTTACATTCTTCAGGGGTACACTAAGAGTTGTCCTAGGAGAATTTCATTGGGAAACCTTAGCCCATTCTCCACCCTACAGCCCTGATCTTCCCCTTGAGATTTCTTTTTGTTCCCCCAACTGTCATTTTTCTGTGATATAAATAGAAGAGTGAAGAACTCTTCAGGGGGAAGGTAAAGAGATTATACAGAATTTCACAGACCCAGAAGAAGGATATGTGGTGAAGCAAAAGCTTCACATTTTTATATTTTTGTTTATTAAAGATGTCTATGGCTTTGTAGCAATATTTTTTTACTTTTTGTACAGTCTCATTTTTCTCCATTTTGTACACAAAAAGAAATATATGTATATAGAGACATTGCACTACACCTTGCTTGTTTTTACGCCATATATCGAAGCGATCTTTCTGTATCAGTACATAGAGAACTTCCCTTTGCTCAGCTATATAATATTCTATTGTGTGAATGTACCATTCTGTGGATTGTCTGCTCATTCCTTTTTCTATTAGGTTCTGGACTTTGTCTCAATTTTCAATAATTCTTTATATGTAATATAAAATTTACATATAGATGTAAGGATGTTTCAAAAAGTTTGTGGAAAACTTTATTTTTCCACAAACTTGTGAAGCCCCCTTGTATATGCAGTCCTCGTTTTGTCCAAAAAAGTGACTGGGCAAGCCAAAACTATCCAAAGCAATCTTAATAATCAATGGGGAAAATTACAGTTATTTTTGTGACCTTTAAAATTTGACAAAACATTAAAAACTTTCTTACTATCAGGTTTAATCAGAAGAGGAATTGACTATGATGAATTGCCTACACAGTACTTTTTTTTTTAAATAAAGGTAAAGCTGATACATATTTAGTACACTGCCATTTTAAACATAAGAAAGATTGGTTTTTCTTTTTGTTTTGTTAAAAACTAATAATAAAAAAAATATTAGTTTGAACAGCCTTGCCTCCTCTTCTTCATAGAACTTACAAATGCATCATCTTTCCTATGCCTTGGCAAATTATCATACTCTTAAAAAAAAGTCTGAGTCAGCTTCCAACATTTCATCCTATACATTTTCAATGCTAGGAATTACCGCTAAAGGTTCTTTAATGGTTAAGTTGTTTTGGATGGCATTACTTCTGAGGCATCTTCATCCCTCTCATCAAAACCAGTTTCCTTATTTATATAGATTAGTTCACCTTCACTAAGTTCTTCAGGCTGCTTACAGTTTACATATTCCCATCTCAGAAATCTCTTCTATTAACCTTATTTATGTTGATTCATATTTTATTTCCAGCATTATCACTTTTTCTTTGTCCTTTTATTTTTGTTGGCCAGTTCATAAAATGTAACATTTTATTACTAGGTGAATAGAAGCAATGTAACTCCATGCTTTGCTGCCTGCTTATGAACTGAAGAGATACACTGAGATCTATCAGAGTCAGACTTTGCAATAAGTGACCTGATTTGTCACTGATCATGGTGTGCATTTGTTATCTGCACAGTGATGTGTGGGCTAAAGTGCTATCAGTTAAGTTTGTATTTCATGCAATTCTCAGTTAATATACCACAGAGTAAGTGAAATTTGAAAACCATGTTGCCTGAAAACTGGTGGTATATTGAAACTGTGTGAGCACTGTCTCCCTGTATGTGTATGGATCTGTGTGTGTTTAAACTAGGGCAAACAGTCATTTGCCCAAACATTTCAACGATTTTCTGTTTTCATTTTCTGAAATTGCTTATGGTGCTTTATTCATCACAAACAGGTTTTTGATGTTTATGTGGATAAATTTATCACACATTTATGTTTTCTGAATTTATGCATCATGGTTAGAAAGGCCATGCCACTCCAAGGTAATAAAAGATTTTGTACAAGTTTTTCTTCTAATGCTCTTAAGGTTTATTTTTTTTACATTTAAATCTTTGTGCTATTTTGGATTTTATTTGTGTATACATTATAAGGTATGGATTCAGCTTTTTTTCAGATGACTATCCTGTTGCCTCTTTATTACACAGACCATTTTTATTCTATTTGAGATAACATCTTTTTTATGTTCTACATGCATTTTAGGAGCACTGGTAGCATAGTGTTTATAAATCGGGCTGCGAATCCCATGGTCAGCAGTTCGAAACTACCAGCTGTTCCGCAGGAGAAAGATAAGGCTTTCTGTTCCTATAAAGATTTACAGCCTCAAAAACCCTGTACAGTGTCACTATGAGTCAGAACCGACTCCATGGCACATAACAACAACAACTAAATATGCATTTTGGCTTATTTCTGCGCTTGATATCTGTTTCATAGTCTGTATATTCACATGTCAGTTGCTGCCAAGTAGCCAGAGTCATGGTGATCCCTATGTTACCAAGTAGAACTGCTCCACAGGGTTTTTCTTGGCCCTGATCGTCACGAAAACAGTTTTCCAGGCTTATATTCTGTGGAATGGCTGGGTGAGTTTGAACTGAAAATTTTTAGGTTTGCACCTGATGGGATATTGCTTGTGTCACCAGGTTTTTCATATATCAGGTTACACATTTTTTTAACTAAGGAGGCTTTAAAAGTATATCTAATGGGAACCCTCCCATTGCTCTTTTTCAGAGACCTTTGTTCTTCTAATCCCTACCCCAACAACATAAACTTTAGAATCAGTTTGTTAATTCAGGAAGAATCGAGAGCTTTATGACATTAAGTCTTCCTATCCAAAATCCTGGGTGTCTTTCTATTTATTCAACAGTGAGGATACACTATACAATGTCAGGTTTGGAAGCAATTCTGTATTTGCGTGATACAAAAATATGAGGGGACTTCAAAAAGTTCTATAAAACTGGAATTTCCCCCCAAAACTTTTGAAACCCATTGTACTTTAAAGTTTTCTATACCACTGGAATTATTTCCTAATTTTTGTAGAAGCAACTGGTCCTGATCCAAGTCTTTGACCAACTATCAGCAGATTTCTGCAGAGCAAGAGAAAGGCCTCCCAGCCATCCTAAGTCAAAGGCACCTTTGTGTATTGTATAGCAACAAATTCTCTTTCAATTTTTCTTGAAACATGGTATCTCTATAACATACCTCCTCCATCACTCAAAATCTAATTTCTACAACCAGACAGAAGAGCTTCTACCTCCTGTCCTCTCCCCAAATTCCTTCAGTGGCCATGCAGGGACATAGTGTCTGCAATCCTAATAATCCTCCAAAGGGTTACATGCACACATACTTTGTGGGGGTAGTGCTTGCTCAGATAGGCACTTTCTGTATTTCGCTCTGCCTGCCCTAGTACTCTTGCCCTAACCTATTTTAGCCCAGTTTGCAGTAGCTCTTACTGAGGATGGGGAGCCCTATCTTTCTGTGAGTGTACATTTACTGGTGATTTTTTAACTCAGTATCTTCATTGATATGTATCGTCATGGGTTTTCTTAAGAGACTACTTGCCGGAGACTTCCGATTGGCTGCCGCAGAGCAGTCAAGTAGGGCAGGCTCTGTGGGGGAGGGGGTTGAAGGCCCAGGGCTCTCACAAATCTACACCAGAGCTCTGGATCTACCCTGAGGGTCTGGGCGTCAGTTTCCCACAACCTCAAGCAGAAAAATCATGGTATAAAGGAAAACATTGTGTTTTGGAAATTGGCATGTGGCTCCCTCTGCGGCCATCCAGCCCGGGTGGAAGTCAGAAGGTGGGACTATAGACAGACCAGCAAAGGGAACCTGCACTAAAAGCAGGGAAGCGACATTTGGGAGAGGAGGTGTGGAGGAGTTTTACACGTTTTTTTTCCTCCTTCTTTTCTGTTGTGCCCTCTTTGCCCAACCTGAACACCTTCAGGCGGGTGGGTGCACAGCCCCCAAAAAACTCCATCGTTGGGACCACAGCTTTCCCACGGGATAGAGAGAAAGGGCCCCATCAGTCCAAGAGTAAATCCTTTGGCTGCGGCTTTTGACTTCTGCCTGTGGGTCCCAGCCCTAAAGTTAACTTGTGCAGGGCAATTAACCCCTGCCTACCCAGAAAGAATAGTGGTTACGAATCGGGCTGTG